CGGAGGTGTGGTACAACAAGGTCGAGGACGGGGCGGCATGGTTCATGAGGAAATGGCACAGGCAGGAGGCGGAAGCGTCCGCGAAGCGCCAGCGCGCGAGGGAAGCAGAAGCAGAGAGTACGGCCTCAGGACCGAAGAGAAAGAGAGTTGGGGAGGTGGCGGTGGGGGGGAAGAAACGGCGACCGGGCACTGCTGTAGAAGCGATTAGGGCGGCGGAGGCAGCACTTGTGGCGAACTATGTACCCGGCTGATGTTGTTGCGCCCTGTTTCCCTCCCTGCTGTATGCTATACTCCTTTCTGTATGTCCTTTGTATTGCCTTCGGCCTCTGTGCTGTGCTTCTTTTTCCATGTTCCCCCTGCCTACTCTGCTGTGTTGGGTACCTTGATCTCGCTTTTGCTGTTGCCTTTGTTTTTGTACGTCTGGCTGTCTGCCCATCTGCCGCCTCTTTGTCCTGTTTGCTCCGTTACTCCCATGCCCTGGTGCGTAGCGCCTGGTGCTGGTACGTTACCCATTGATTTTTTCTTCGGGCGGGTGTGGGAAGCGTCCTCCTTTATTTTTGTTTTTGTTTTATTTTGATCGGTTTCCGATGGCTCTTTTCTCGAAAGGTCGGTGCGATACCTGTTATTTTCTTTCCATCAGTTTGTTTTCTTGTTCCGAGTGGTTTGTACCCTATTTTTTATTTGTTTCCCCTCGGCGTCGTATGTGCCGGGTTTTGAGACCACGGGCTCCCCATTTTTTGTGGACTGTAGAGCTAATGTGAGAAACAACAACAACAACAACAACNTCTTGTTCCGAGTGGTTTGTACCCTATTTTTTATTTGTTTCCCCTCGGCGTCGTATGTGCCGGGTTTTGAGACCACGGGCTCCCCATTTTTTGTGGACTGTAGAGCTAATGTGAGAAACAACAACAACAAACACGCACGGCTTCGAATCCCAGCTGGTCACATTTGACAAGCACCCTTAGTTCTTTTCCTGCAGCGCCTGGAGAGGGGTCCGTCCCCGGAGATCACTACTTCCAAAAATCCCAGTGACCAGCCGGGTGGCTACGAGCCGAGAGTGTACCTTTTGTTAGTAAGGCTTACCCCATTAGACTGCTCAGTCAGCGCTGACTAAGCTGACTTAGTAGTCTAATGGGGTAAGCCTTGCCAACAAACTTAATCGACTTCATAAGTCGCGAGGGAAGGGATTGCTGTACCCTTCTCGCGAAAACAATATCTCAAGCAGGAACCCCAGGAGGAGGTCCAACCCCCCCTCCTATGTGACCCCGGTTGGGTCGTCTAGCTGGTAGAAGTGGAGGCTAGGGGCCAGAGGGGCAGGCGACAGAGTCCAATACAGATAGCGCCCGCAAGAACTTCGCAGTTTCGAAATTGAGACTCGCAAAAAATCAGAAGCTAAGACCGGTTTTTATGGCTCACAAATGTTGCAAGAAAAGTTGCAAACTTTTTATGCAACTTTGCCCGGGAACTTTCGTCTGTAACTTTTTCAGTAGTGCTTACCCATTTGTCGAGATATAAGGTACCCGGAAAATCCTCGTTATTATTCTGGTTCTCTTGTGCACACCTCCAGTGCCCACCTAGCCTTTCACCCGTGCAGCAACCTCGAACCAGGATCAATTGGTTACGAAAGGTAGCCCTCAATTCATGGGGGTACATTTTTTCCGCCGTCCTCCCCACCCACCCACCAGTCGATCATCGGGCTATAAACTGTATGCAAAAAGTTTTTTATTGTCTCCTCAAAGGGCTGGTTCTCATTCTGAACCCCTTTGTCTACCTAGAAGCTTCCTAGAACTATATTTTCTCGTCAAAGGGCTATAAGCACCGCTCAGTAGTGCCGGAAAGGGCTGGTTCTCATTCTGAACCCCTTTGTCTACCTAGAAGCTTCCTAGAACTATATTTTCTCGTCAAAGGGCTATAAGCACCGCTCAGTAGTGCCGGAAAGGGCTGGTTCTCATTCTGAACCCCTTTGTCTACCTAGAAGCTTCCTAGAACTTTATTTTCTCGTCAAAGGGCTAAGCACCGCTCCACTTTTTTGGTGCACGCTGCTGGTATGGGACGAGGAAAGTTTTGTGCACGGGACTGTTGGAATGCGGAGGCGGGTTGGTTCAAATTCAAAAAAACAGGCTACACCACCTCCCAACACATACACGCAGCCCTCGGGCTCGCCATCTGTGCGGCTGCACCACGCCACGGAGGGCCGCGCAACAGGCAAACAAACGCTTGACCACGCAACTAATGTCCAGTGCGTCACACGAACCAGCATGGTACTCGACCTAGAGGTAACCAACAGAGCGTCGGCACTGCCAGTAGAACTCACGAATGACCTCATGGATTCCTTTGGGATCTTCTGCGCTACGTATGGAGGTACACCTCTCGGCCAGCAGTCCCAGAAAGCCCTGCAGTGCTTCCCTATAGCATGGGCTTGTCTCGCCGTCAAGGAGGCGGAGAAGAAAAGCAAAGAAGTTCGTGACAGAGACGTGTCGAGGTGCTACCAGGAAATCGCGCTTCCTGGCAGGATAACGTTGTGCCACCGAGCTATCGCGAGTCCGCAGAGTCCGACAACCCGCTGCGCTTCCCGGCCGGGTGGGAGACTACGCTCTAGACTACTTCACCACGCTCGGAGGTGCGTGACGCGTGTAAAGTCGGGGTAGACGATCACGATGGATTGCTGACTGACCACAACAGCAGTGATTCTGTGTATTGGAGAGGGTTAGCCCGTGCACAGCAGTTTGGACGGCGAACTCGCGCACTCCCGTGTACAGGTCCAGAACAAAACGCTTGAAAGGCCAACGTACATTTTAAAAAATAGACACGACACGGGGAAAGTAATACGGCACACAGCAGCGAAGTACACACGTAAATATGTTGTTAGGTACACAAGTACTGCTGTGGGACGCCGTACCACCGCAACCATCCTTGAAACATGTAACATTTGTTCGAGTAGCTGTCGTCCCTGGACGGCGTGATATGTCAACATGTACTTGGTACATAATGCAGTAGACCCGTGCAGCAGCAGCGGTAGCTGCAACAGCACTACTGCTGTAGAGCTGTGGTGGCAGCAGCAGGAAAGCACACGCCGGTGGCAGTGTAAAAGCCATATTTCCCTGACTGTTCAGAAATCTACAAAATGGCACTACGTGCAGCAGTGGTTCCACGTTTGGGACTAGTGCCGGTCCAGCGCAACCGCGATTGAACATGGCTATAAGGGTGATTGATGGCCTCAAAGGAAAATACTGTAGCTTGGAAAAATAACAAAAAACGCTAGCATGCATGGTGGCGTCAGGGTAGTTCATGGGCAGTTTAGGGTCCCCTGCTTGATTGAGCGTGTAAAGGTACGTGACAGATCAGCAGCAGTTGAGGTGGCAGCACTATAAGCAGGCCTCAGTCAACGAAGCAGACAGCGGTAGACCCAAAATAGTTAGTGGGCCTATGGTGATCGATAATTCGGTGGCTCAGTTCTTTGTGTTGGGAGTGTAGAGCAGCTGGGCCATGACGGGCCGTGGTAGGGTAGGGACGTGT